CCACTGGAGTTTTTGCCTGGAAGGAAGCTGTCTTCTGGCACTTGCCCTGTTACCAGTCACTTCAGTTTCTCCCTGTATGCCACTGGTGCCCTTCTAGCAGTTGCCCTGGTGCTGAATCCCAGAGGGGGTGAGTCTGTGTAAGTCCTATGTCCATTGCAGGCCCATTAAGAGGAGTCTCCTGAGAACCCTAGTTTCTTCTGCCACTCCGACCCCCACTGGTTTTTACAGCCAGAAGTTATAGGGACTTATTTTCCTGGTGCTGGAACCCTGGGCAGGGTGGTCTGATCTGGGGCTGGGATCCCTTGACCCTTAGGTATCCCTCCCAATATTTAGCCACCATACACGGATGTGGGATTGCCTGTCTTGCATCCCTGTGCCTCTCAGCACCTCTCCACCTCACTGCACCTCTCCACACATCCCCATGTCTCCACCCCTCCTACCCATCTGGGTGAATATGTCCTTTTTTAATCCTTGGTTGTTGGACTTCCACACAGCTCAATTTTCTTACAATTCTGGGTGATGTTTGTTTTGTAATCTAGTTGTAATTTTTGCTATAGTTTTGCGAAGAGGCAAGGTGTGTTTACCTACGTCTCCATCTTTACCAGAAGTCAGCATACATTTTAAAAAATATTTTCATTTTTCAAATTAGGATAGTAATCATATTTTCACTAGAATAATGTATATTAACATGCCAAGTTTAGTCCTAAGTAAACAATTTTTTTGATGTTACACTGGCTCAGTGTTTTGAGCTCTTCAAGAATGCAAAAACCCATTCTTAAATTACTTTCTTAGAAAATTCTTAATGTAAGAATTTTTCTTATCATTGCTCCTCCAGACTAAGCCTCCCAAGTTATTTTTTCTACCATCATTATTTCATTTTATATTACCAGTAAAGATTAAGAAGAAAATATATAAGACAAAGTATTCATAAATACATCAACAACCAAAGATACTTGTCTTTCAAAATCTTAGTTAATATGCCAAGATTTTCAGAGTGTAGTTCAAAGTTCTTAAAATTCCTTGCTTTCTAACTGAGGAAGAATGTCTGCTTTTTCCATGCCTTACAAAATATGTTCCCAGCCTATGAGCCTCCACCAGTCCCTGGGATCCACTGGGATTAATGTTTGTAAATTGCAAATACACAGATAGCCAAGGGCTAAGGCTTTCCAAACAGGTATAATTTTGTTTTCCTTTAGTGGTAAAATGAGGTAATCTTAATTATCATTAAAGAGAATGGAGAGCACTAATTTTCAATGTATATTGCAATTAAATTTAGTTTCTTTAAAAACTTAATTGGTCTGGGTTTAGAATCTGGAAATTTTTTGAGACAGTATATTTCTGATCATGATAGGAGTATCCACTTTTCACACTGGATGGCTATTTGTGTGTGACAATGTTAAATATGTAAAATACTGAAGAATGAACGTAGTTACTTCCCTTATCTTTTAAAGATTTTTAAAATTTTATTTTTAGAGAGAGGGGAAGGAAGGGAGAAAGAGAAGGAGAGAAAGATCAATGTGCAAGAGAAACATTGATTGGTTGCCTCTTGCATGCCCCTAACCCAGGTATGCACCCTGACTGGAATCCAACCAGTGACCTTTTGATTTGCAGGGCAATGCCCAAACTACTGAGCAATACCAGTCAGGGCTAGTTAGTTCCCTTCTTAGAGAGGCCGAGGGCTTTAATTCTAAAACTACTGTTAAATTAACCATGTTTGAAGATTTAGTCTTAAGGACAAATTGACATATAAAAAATATGACAAATTGACTAAGTAAAATTTTAACACTGGATATAATTTTACTTATTGCTATGGTATTTATTTTCTATAATAGGAGGTAAGCTCATAACTTTAAAAGAAGATAAGATTGTAAATATAGAATGAATGAGTTTCTATTTTCTCAACTGTCTCTTTAAGTTAAATGCCAGTATCAAAATATCTCATTGTTATTGGTATGTAGAATATTTATGAAAGTTCAATATTCTTTTTAAGTCATAGTTTAAAGTTTTAGAGTTTTTACAGAGCTTGACTTCAAAGAAAATTAATCCACCCTCAACTTTTGTAATCCTTACTCCTAATATATTTCAATTATGGTTCTTCCTTGGTAGCTGATATTCACACTTAAATTCATAGAATCACATTTGGAATGACACTAACAGTGCGACAAAGGATATAGAGCTTCATATTTTAGAATGTGCTATCGCAGACACTTTGATACATTATTATGGTTTATAAAAGACTATGATTAATTCAGTACATTATAACACTGCAGAAATATGTACTGTTTCAGATAGTGTAATAGGAAAAGAGAGATTCAGTGTGGGATACCCTAACTATTCCCAGAGATTCCTAAGTCACCTATCCTGCTTCTTCATTCTTAAGTGAAAACAACATCAAAACCACTAATTCAATAGCACAAATATTCAGATTACATTCATTTGAGGCATGTTTTAGGGAAAAGAGTTTGGAGAATGCAGTGTGGAGAACATCTGGCCTGTCCACATACAAATAAACAGTAGTAATTACTTGACGTAGAGCTGCCAGAATTGACAATTTATATTCTAAATATGTCTCATATATTGGAAGACTCTAAAACTTTTCTTTAAACTCTGCACTCCTATGCTGGTTTCCCAGTGTTGCGAGAGAGAGGGAGGGAGAGAAATGTCACTATTTTCAGTAAAGGATCTGAGAAGGCTTTTTAAATACGTAGTTAAGAAACATGAATGCAATTAAATTATGAGGGAATTCTTTTTAAAAGATCACTCAGTTGTGAGCGAAAATGGATCTTATTTGTCTTTATATACTCAGATCCTAACAGTACCCAGCATCAGGTAGAACTTCATTAAATATGTATTGAATGAATTATTTCATAAATAAAATAAGATTACCCTTTAAAAATGTAGCGTCTTTGGTATTATTAAATTTGGGGTTAAGTCAATAATAACTCAAAGTTTATTTTGTTTTCAAGGGTCAAATCTATATCATTAAACATTAACATGTAACAGGTGATCAAAACTTAATACAATTAAACACAATTGTATAAATACTTATTAATTCCATGTTAATTTTAGCTTAAATTGGCAGCATTAAATGTAACAAATAGGATGCAAATCTAAATGAATTGTTGAGGTTAAGTCATCAACAGCTAAAAAACAGATGTATAGCAGAAATATGAATAGATCTGAACATTTGTCTCTTATGTTATTAACTAGAATAAGTATCTTCATTCAACTGGATCTGAAGTTTATTTGCATTTATATCAAACACTTGGAATCTAGCTATTGTTACTGTGATTCTTGTTGAATTTTTAATGGATTAGATGCCAGTAATTTCTTGTAAGCAATGATTTCTTGCCTAAAAGTACAAGTGTGTGAAAATTAAAATAAAACAAAAATGCTGATAGATGTTAGCTTGAGCATTACCTTGGATTTGATCTGTCTTGTGTTTTCAAGCTGTTCTTAGATGTTTTAAAGAAAACATGTAAACAAATCTGGAAATGACATCATCACTGATATATCTCCATAAATTCTGCATATTTTTACTCAAATTATGTTAAATGTCCAAATCCAGTCTATAACTACTAACTGTATAGAACTAAGTAAAGTAATACTAATTTACTTTTAAAAATTGCTCCCTCTAGTGAATTCACAACATCACTTCACTTTTTGGCACTGTTGGCCCTGAGTAATATAATAAATGATATAAATAATGGTGACTATTAGGTTGATGATAGTGGTCTGGCCTACTTTTGTGATATTGCATTTTAATGTTTTCTGTGATTGGATACAGGGAAGTTTCATTATGATTGATTAGAGCTACTTGCTGGATATTTTAGAACAGTGCATTTAAAAATCCCGCATTGAAAAAATAATTTATTTCAAAACTGTTCAGCTTACTTTTGAATTCCATTAAAAACCATGTTATTGTGAGAGCTATGGCCATATTGACACTACCAACGTAAAGTGGGGGAATTAAAGCAGTTGTCCTAATGAAGTGTTATGGTAGGAATGTTTAAATGGAAATCGAATTCTAGATGTAATGGCTGTCTTTGCTCTGGTTACCATATACCTCAGAAAAATTAGACATTATCAGCCTTACTCCTCTCAGTCAGAAATGCTGTGCAAACAATGATAGATATAAAAATATTTCAAGTGCTTTGGAGTTTTATTTAAATTTAAACTACTATAACTGAATATAAAGTAAACTACTGGGGTAGCTGTGAAAGGAAGAGCATTATTTAATTCTCCAATTGTTAATGCAGACTTGGTTTTAAAATAATTCATTTTAAATCACAGGAAGGAGAAATTAAAATTTAGAAGTTGCACAGGTGATTACATTTATACAACTGATTAAAATAAATATGGCAGTAATAACAGGGCATAACAAAACAAAATTGATCAGGAGACTTACTCTTCTTCAAAGCAGGATTCCATTTTCTGTGAAATTTAAATTACCTGGTTAATTATTTCTATACTCAATCACTTTGCCTGAATAGGCAAAGCCTTTTACAATGTCATCTCAGTTAACATAGCAGATGGCGTGGGTTACCAATGCCATCAAGTTATTGTTTTCTTGTATTAATAATAATAAAGTAACTCCACCTTCCAAATGCTCAGCAAATATTAATTCATCATTTTAGCACTCCTACGAGGAGGTAGAAAATTTTAATAAATAATATATAATAAAATATAGTCTAGATTAATTTATTTGAAAGCACCTGTGAAAGACAAGCAGAGAAACTAAAAAAAATTAAATGACTATATTAATTATGTGAAAGAAGGCAATATTGTTTAATGAATCACTCTCCCTTGAAGTAATTTCAGGAGGATCTCACGGGAGTAAAGGGCCTGTCAAGGTTTCAAATTTTTTGTTTCCACTCTCTTTTCTCAAGTGAAGGAAAAATTAGCACTATTTCCATGGAGACGTGACTAAGTCTAGGCAAGGGGCAAGTCTGCAGTTAGATCGCGGGCCTGCCCGCCTCCCGGGCCCCTGGGATCCTCACCTAACCGCACGCGGTCTGGGGCTGCCAACCTCTCGGCCGCCCGCGGGCCTGCTAGCGAGGCGAGCCCACCTAGGTCCTCGTGGGGCTCCCGTCGCCTCTCCTCCTGGCCCGAGTCTTCCTCCTTCCTCTCCTAGACCAATTGCGCCATTTGCTGAAGAGCCGGAGGCTATGACCTCGCCCCCGGGGCCTCTCTGGCTTCTGGGTCTGCCGTGGCGCGTGCTCCGACCTGGAGGAGGACGGGCTGGAGCCGAAGGGAGCACCCAGCGCCGAGGCCGGCCGCGGGGCTGGGCGCGAGGGTGGTCCCTGGGCGGAGGCTCGGCCCCAGGCTGGCTGCCGAGGGAGGAGCGCAGGACAATCCCCGGGGCTCCAGAGAACAGGGAAGGGTGTTCCCTCAGCGGGAAGGCGTGCGAGGTTTGCGACCTCGCCATTCCTCACCTTTCTCAATGCTGGTGCCTAATCAAAAGTCGAGGGAGGCATGGATTCGTGAAACTCCGCACACGGCCTCTCTAATGCAGTAACTCCTGTCTTACTCCCTGGCACTTTCTTTTGGGGAAACTTAGAAAAATGTCTGCCCTCGGATATTCACAGATCTTTCTGATTGTTCCTGTAGGCGGCGTGTCCTGTGAGCGTCGTTTTCGCCACAGCAGTGGAGCTGTCACTGTGGGCAAACCTTACCTCCCAGTAGCATTCCTGAGTTTTATTCACAGGTAACACAGGTGTCTTTGACATACTTGATTTATTCATTCATCTTTAATTTCATAAGTGGTTAGAAACCAAGGGTTTGGATGAATATACTAGAGTTCAGAGGAAGGAGAAACACAGGGATACAAAATAACAACAACAAAATATTTATTTGGCATGTTTTCAGCCTTTCTCTTGCCTTGTTGGAGGAAAGGGCCCCTTTGGAAAAAATGCAGTGAGATTCAGATAAACTCATTGTTTCTCAGGTGGTGGAAATATTTCTCCTTTCCTCAAAGTTATTTCTACTTTAGTTCACTCCTTATTCAGAGAGAGAGAAAAGCTTAAGTGAGAGCTGTAATTCAGTCCACCAAACCTCTGTCTTTATTTAGATATTTGTCAGTTGGCTTATTTCTTACAATAAAATACTCACCTCCTCTCCATGATTCAGATAATAGCTGATTCATTTGATAGCCTATCTCTGTCTACAAATAATTTTTTTAAAGATTCCAATTATTTCTTTTCAGAGAAGGAGAGAGGGAAACATTGATGTGTGGTTATCTCTTGAGCACCCTCTACTGGGGGCCTGGTTTGTAACCCAGGCATGTGCCCTGACTGGGAATCAATCCAGCCACCTTTTTGGTTCACAGGCTGGCACACAATCCACTGAGCCACACCAGCCTGAGTGGTCAACAAAGAATTTGAAGATTTTCAAACTACACATATAAAAAAAGAGTACAAATAAAATATAAGTATTAAGAACACTCAATGTGTGGTGAAATTATGCATAATTGCTCAAGTTGGTTAGAAAATTTGGCTCTGAACTTCTTCAGGTTCCTTGGGTACTTTCTGCTCAAAGCAAATGCAGTCAAACAGGGATATGTCCTGAGAAATGCATTATTAGGCATTTCCACCATTGTGCAAACATCAGAGAGTACACTTACACTGCCTAGGTGGTATAGCCCATTACACTCGTAGGCCATATGAATACAGCCTGCTATGAATACAGGCCGATGGTACAGCCTACTGCTCCTAGACTACGAACCAGTCTAGCATGCTACTGTACTTCTGAATATTGTAGGCAATCGTAACACCATGGCATGTACTTTTGTATCTAAATATATATAAACATAGAGAAGGCATAGAAAAATATATGGTATAAAAGATGAATGATTCACCTGTATTGTGCACTTTCCATGAATGGAACTTGCAAGACTACAAGTTTTTCTGGGCGAGTCAGTGAGTGAGTGAGTGGTGAATGAATATGAGGGCCTAGGACATTACTCCACAGTACTATAGATTTTATAAACACCGTACACTTAGGCTACACTAAATTTATAAAACAAAATGAGATTAAATCAAGCACAAGAAAGAATAATGGAATAAAGTGATGTGGTACACAGGAGTATATGAGGCTGCATATATATGTGTTTATATGCATAACATTGAATTACTGTTTTACAGCAAGCTTTTATTTTTATAAGTAGAAAGAGTACACTTTAAAATAACAATAAAAAGTATACTAAATGAGTTGTGGTTTCCAAAGGGAAAAGAGGTCAGGGGAGGGCAAAATGAGTAAAGAGAGTCAAATACATGCCAATGGAAGGAAACCAGACCTTGGGTGAGGAGCACACAACAGAGTACACAGATGTCAAATTATAATCTTGTACACCTGAAAATTAAATCATTATTAAGTTGTATTTCCCCAATAAATTTAATTAAAAATTTTAAAGTATAGTATAGTAAATACAGAAACCTTAACATAGTTACTTTTTATTCTCTAATATTATGTACTGTACATAATTGTATGTGCTATACTCTTATACAACTGGCAGCACAGTAGGTCTGTTTATGCCAGCATTCCACCAACATGTGAGTAATGTGTTGCACTATGACTTTAAGGCAGCTCTGACACCATTAGGCAATAGGAAATATTCAGCTCCATTATACTCTTATGGGATCACCATCATTTACGTGGTCATGTGGCACATGACTGTTTTGGTTTCTGCAAGGCCACTTTGTAAAATCCTTTACCTGAGAGGCTGCTCTTAATTCTTAATATGTGAGGACTAATCTACTTAAAAGAGCTTTTTTCCAGAGTCACTAAGGAACTGGAAATTACTTTAAAAATAGTGTGTCTTTGCCATTCACATTTTGATGTTTTTTTCTCCATTAACAGTCCTTTCTCTTTTTTGCATTTTTATTATTATTTTTGGTTCCTATCAGTTCTGTTTCATGTTTCGCTGGTGGTGTCTAAATAGAAATAAAGGCACACTTACTTTTGACGTATGCTTTTGTATGTCAGCACTAGATGTAGGTCTGGGATGTTTTTGGCTGTTGTTACTGAATTTCCTTTTGTGGCAATTGGACAGAAAACCTACCAGTACTTTTTAGTTGTTTATTAAGGCATAATTCATGGCCAAAATTGTATATATCATTTTTTATTAATCATTATGGTGAGTTAAATGATTTTTCTCTGTTACCCACTGTTTTCAATAAAAGGCATATTCAAAAAGGACTTTTTAAATAGGCAAGATACAGTTAAACCTCCAGTAGGCAAATACTGAATCAGTAAAGGGGAGTGGTGTGCTCCACCTCCTTGAGGTAGAGCATCTGCATCAATTATGTGGACTTCTGCACAGGAGATTTATGCACTCATCCCCATTTATTAATTTATTTAATCATTTACTTAGGTCAGTGTGACTCATGCATATCTATTTTATACTTTGAGTTATAATTCAATACTATTTCATTTATCAAAGTAGTCTAACTTTGGCCATTGGAGCTCTTTCAGTTGGCTCCTGTGTCCCTCTGACATATCTCCATAATTGTGAGGTTTGGTCTTGTGTTGGTTTTCAGCATTTCCTTACTTTCTGACACTATAAGATGCTCCAGGCTTATTTTGTATATTTCTAGCCCCAGTCCTAGAATCAGTCAGTTTTCCATGGAGTCCTGGTTTAGTTTATCGGAGAGAAGTCCTAGAAACCAACATGCATACTAAATATGCTCAGTACTGCTGGGGTGTCATTGCTGCTAGTTTTTGTCAGCTAATAAAGCAAGGAAATATGTGTTTACACTGATCTCTCTGTATACACATATCTGTAAGTATCTCTATATGTAACCATCTGTGACCATATTAAAATAAACAAAAGTTCATACTGATGCTTCACAATCTAATCTATTACCACATAGATTATTCTAGCTTCCTCCCCTTGCTTACCTCTAGGCTTCCATTCCAAAAGTGAAAAACCTGACTCCCACCATCTGCCATCCATTTGCTTAATTGTTCAATTCTACCACAGGTAGCAGTATTAGAATTGTGAACCAGAACTCCTCTGGGAAAAACTACATCAACTAAAGTACAATGCTTCTGTATTGTTTTTTCTGCCCTTAGTCTTACAGATTCCACTAATCTTCACAATTACACAGGTCAGCTCCTTTTCCTCTACCCCATTCAGTGTAGTTGTAAATAGATTTGTAATAAGTTAAATTGTTTTAGTCACATTCTGTATTCTGGATATTCTGTCCTCCTAAATGAATTTTTTTCTTCCTAATTTGTACGTGTTAATGTTATTCTTTGTGCTGTAAAACTCTATGGATTTTGACAAATGCAAGAGACTGAGCTTTAGATATAGTCTGGAGGCACCCATATATATATATATATATATATGTCATATATATGTATATATATGTCACACACACATATATATACATATATATATGTCATATATATATATGACAGTTATAGCCATGCGGGCATGAAGCCTTCAGGGTCTCAGGTAGAATGAAATACAGGAAGAAGGAGCACAAAATCCTGGGAAACACCAATACTTAAGGCTATCAGGTGAAGGAAGAGAAAACAGAAAAGGAGAATGAGAAGGAGTAGTCAGAGACTGTGAGAGACAGCCCTAAAGAAGCCAGGAGAGGAAAATATCAAGAAGGAGAGTGTAAAAGGTTGAGTTGTGTCCCCGACACCAACCAAGTTGAAGTCCCTCCATACCTCAGAATGTGACCTTATCTGGAGGTAGAGTATCTACTAGAGATAATCAAGTTACAGGGAGATCATTAGGGTGGGTCCTGAGCTAATACGACTGGCATCCTAATAAAAAGGAGAAATTTGGACACAGACACATACAGGGAGAGTGCCATGTGAACACGAGGTTAGCTGTCTACATCGTGAGTAGAGAGTTGGAACAGAACCTTCTTCCTCAGTCCTCAGAAGTAAAGAATTCTGCAGACACCATAATTCAGCCATCTAGCCTTCAGAGCTGTGATACAGTAAAAGTCTATTGTGTAAGCCACCAGTCTGTAGTACTTGGTTATGACAGTGTTAGCAAACTAGTACAAAAGAGTGATTTCAGATGCAGAAATAATATTATGGGTGAATTGAGAAGTAAATACCAGGTGACCA